ATTCTTTAAAGAGTTATAATCATTCAAAGTTTACTATTGAAAAAAAGATCGGCAAAAAATTGTCATATATGAAAATTATATATGTGATCGACTATGTTTGTAAAATCATATTGTAAGACACCCCAATAAATAATAATTGCATAATTGTACTACATAACTTTAGATATGTGTCCATCTGGATATCTGTAAAAAAATCCGTTCATATTTGGATTGATGGGTAGCTTTTTTAAAAGGTTGATGGATTGTGAACCAAAATTATTATTATAGGATATTGTCCTTATTTGCATTGCTCTTTTACTTATTTGTAACATGGACAACGTTAATGATGATTATAATTATAGTGATAGTGATAATGATTATAATAATGATAATGTGAACCTACAATCAAACCCTCATTTCAACAAACTTTGTTTCATTTCAATGAATTTTATATTAAATTGTACAATGGATAGTACCAATTATATTATATAAATTTAAAAAATTAAAAAAGGTAAAAGCAAACCAACCTCATGCCAGCAGTTGTGATAATACAAGGGGGCTAGCATTATCTGTCTTGAATGTGCCTAAAGGGTATGTAGGTTGCTCACTAAGGTATCCTGAGAAGCATAAATCATGGTCTAATTATTCACTTGCTTTGAGTAATTTGTTTATAAAAGGCAGATTAACTAAATAAAAGGTTAACAATATTAAAATTGTTTGATTAGTATTAAAGAACATTTGATCCAAACTTCCCAATAATAAAAAAAGATGAATGCAAACAACAACAATAATAAAACAAAATAACACAAACAATAAAGCATGGCAGGGCTTACATGTGGGGTTATCTATAGTGCTCATTTGTGATTCAAAAGTTGGAATAAATCATAAAAAAGGACAGATAGATGTCAGCGTGATCTGTTCCCTATTTTCTGTTCAAAGCTGAAGGACCAATTTAAATGATTATCTCATTTAAGTAACTATAAATAATCATTGAATATTGAAAATTATTTTTTAGGATGATCAGTCAAAGTTCAATAGAAAAAGACAAACTGATTACCTACAAATGATCATAGAAAATGATAGAAAGATGATTAGTCAAACAATTGAAATATTAAATGGATTAGAAAAAAAGAAATTGAACAAATCAGACTTTGATAAAAAACTATGTGAACAGTTCATGCAAAATGTTGTTAAACTGAAGGTAATAATTCATAGATTATTTATGAATGAGACTTTTAAACTAATACAATGATTTAAATTATTAATTAGGAAGAACCTTCAGGATGGATCATCAAAATTGATAAAATGAATATGATTTTGTAAAAATCATATGCAATTCATTGATAAATATTAATGCAATGATTCCGGATTTTGATGATCCAATACTATCCTATGTAATTGACCCTTCAGATCAGCAAACCCGTTTGGTCTCTGGCTCAAGGATGAAATAATTTTTGAAATGAAAGATATAGATGAGAGAGCAGTAAGACGAATTAAAGAAATTCCAGATTTCATAAAGGATTAGATAATACATCAATAGATTATTTGTCATTTATATATTCACATCACCATATGGTGGAAAATCATTTTCCCAAAATCCTTCATACTAATCCATTATACTCTGAACATTATTTTATATGGAAAATGTATTGTTGTATGTAAGTATTTTTTATTATTATTTGCAATTGCATTCAACTATTATATAGGCATGCTCAATTTTGGTCCAATCCTTGATTATCTGGAATCTATTTAAAGATCAAAATTGGGTAGACATATGCGTATTGATTTAATAATGAATTTTTATGTGAACAGGTTTGAAATGTGGGACAGCTATGATTTTGACTCGGGGCATTTTACATCATTTAATGAAGGAACTTTTGAACTATTAACATATCATCCAATATGCAAGATCTTGCTCAAAAACCTTGATAAATGTGTTTTGTGTGGGTATGTAAAAATTGTCTGATTATTTTAGAAGACCATTCCTTAATTTATTGATAATTGTGTGGATATTAATTTTAGTGGGGAAGGAAGTTCAACAGCATCAAAATACAGAAAAGATCAACTATCAAAACTTGAAAAAGAATATAGAAATAAAGAAAATGTTAATCCATTTTCAATTAGTAATGTGGGTAATAAGCCTGATTTATGGGTAGAAACAAAAATAGCAGGTTGATTATACGAATATTTACCCAATTACAAAGAAATATATAAAGCTATTTCCAACATTCAAGTATTTTTATTACAAAGTTGTGGTAAGCTGAAATTTATATTTTTTATTGATTATGAAACCTTTGTTATATATCATATATTAACTTACCATAAAATTACTAGGCGAAAGGATGAAAATATACATTGTTGATTTTCCATCCAATTCATTTGGCAGAGTCAGAGAATATTGTGATCTGGAAGTTCCATATAAAAGTACATCAGAAATTGAACTACAAAGATTCATAGGAACCTTGTTTAGAATAAGGGTTCATATGGAAAGCAATATCAAACTCATCAGAAAAATTAGCACTGAACTTTCAAAAAATTTCAATGGAATTCCAGGAACAATATTTACTATTATTATTAACAATTGCACTAAATTTTGATCCCTGAAATCTTTGATAATACCAATGTTCACTTTGTCTGGTTTTCAGCATACCCCATATAATATTAGAAATTCTTATAAATAAAATAAAGTTAGTTTGTACATTAACAAATAAATTATTAAAAATAAAATCCGTTGGCTCCATTGGTTCCAGTGATTCATTAGTTCCAGTTTTTCCAATGATCCCAGTGTTCCATTGGTGTTCCAGACATACATGTTAGCCAAAATTGGTTTTGCACTTGCCAAATCTTTTGGCAACATTCTGGCTTTCCATATTCCCTATATTACAAAAAAGCCACGAGAGCTTTGGCTATAGTGTCAAAATCTCAGGAATGGTTTTTTGCTCAATTAATTTGGGACTACTATGAAAAACTATTTTGGCATTTTGAATTTGGCAATGATCATTCACTAACAGAAGTAATTTTGGCTAACATGTATGGTTCCAGAAAAAGTAACTGGAATATTGGAATTGGAACTAGAAATTTATTCCAGTAGATTAAAATTGTTATTATTAACACTAACAATTAATGTTCTTGTTAATATTTAATTGAGTCAGATATCATTATTCCTATTATGACTTCATTATTATTATGTTATCATTACATAGTTAAACTTGACAATTGATTGAAAGGTATTATTAATATTGATTACTATATTAAAATATAAAGAATTAAATATTTTTTAGTAAAAAGGATGAAATTCCAACTATTGCTCTACTGTTGATGGATGGATATGTAATCTCCATCATATATCTCTTACTTACCTGAATCTAGCTAGATACATACCCTGTCAAATGTCTGCAGGCATAGGGATTGGAAGTGGAATTAAAAAGCATGCAAAACGAGGGGGGAGGAAAAATGGGGAATGACAAATGAATATAGATCTTCACAAACCTGTTCCTATTGTTTCAACAAGTATAATTAGCTCATTCTCAGTGCAACATTGAGGGCAAGATTCAAAACACATGCACATATTTCCTTTAAGTGTGGCTATACATTTAAGCCCAGAGATGTAAGTGCTTCTGTCTGCATTGCAATTGCTGATGCCTCCAATTTCCTTCCTTCTTCAAGTACAAGATCATGTGCACCAGAAAAATTGCTCACATTTCCAATACTGAATAATAGAAGTCCTCTATACCCAGAAGGAATTAATTGGTTTAATAAATAATTGACCGACTGATCAACTAGTAGTTGATCAAGGGTTTTTTGACTAATTCCCAATCTCTAACTTAGAAAAAACAATTAGTGAAGTTAGATACACAGAAATTCGTTATTTTCTACTTTTTTTACAACTATATTTGTAATATTTTATTCAAAAAGAATATACAATCATCATCACCAATGATAATTAATTACATTATTTGAAATTGTGGCAACTTGTTTAAGATCTAAATGATTGATCACCATGTAATAGATGTTTTTACCAAATCCATTGTTGCAAATCTAAAGGCCACTCATTCACTTATTTTAGATGAAATTCCAGAAAACTCCAGTTTTAGGGACTTGTGAGACCCTTTTTTTTTAAAAAAAGATTTTGTTCAATTCAAAAGATTAAATTGGGTTTTTGGAACATCAATCCTTCATTTATTTGTAAAATTAAAAAAGAAATGTAATAACTATTATTATTAATTTAAAATATATTATTTCAGATAGACTTATCATTATTTTCTAGATTTTTTCAGAAACATCAAGAATTTTCAATCCTAAACCTTTATTTAAAGTTTGATTTAATATACTTTTTAATTTCTCATTATCATTTTTTAAATTTTCAAAATTTATTCTCATTTGCTCTTGATCATTTTCATACATGTTAATATTTGAATTTATTTCTGATATCTCTTCCCTTAGTTTTTCTATTGTAGTATCCAAATGATTTTGACGTTCCTTTGAATTTTTATATGATCTTTTTTTTTATAAAATAAGAAATTATATATGTGTTGTAATATATATTAATTAAAATTCATTAAAACCAACCTCCTCTGTTCCCATATAATTAAAGAACCAGCAACTCCAAATACAATAGATTCACCCAGAAAATTTGCTCCAATTTCTACAGCTCTTTTTAAATTAAATTGGAAATTAATAACAATTGAATATTGATTATAATAATATCAATCAATATTTTATTTTCTCTTTTACTTTTTATCATTCAATGGTCTAAATTTTTCGCTTTTTTGACCCAAAAGATTCATTTTTAATTTTATTTCAAATCTGTGTGTTGCCTTTTTATTAAAGATTAATTAGCATATTATTTTTAATTTAAATTTGCTCTTTAAATTACCTGAGCAATATTTATACATATTTGTTTAAAGTATGGATGTCGTTTGCTATACTCCTAAAAAATACCAATTATTAATAATTAATAATGGCAGTGATTAATGGTTATTGATAAACAGTTCATTATATACAAACTTTTATACTACTGGCTATAGGCTTAGCGATGGTTCTTATAAGAAGAATTCCTAATTTTGTAGCACTCATTAGATTTATATAATATTAGATTTAAAATTATCTGACAAAAAAAGAAACTACGCAGTGAGACTCGATTTAACAGAATGTCCCGAAAATTTATTCGTTAAATCGAGATATCCGTAATAAAGACAAAGGTTTTTATTTTTAAATCACTATATGATATCAATCGTTTTACAATGAGTGTTTCTATTCTGTATTTTATTTTGATCTCTCGTTTTTTTTAATCGTCCATATAATACAATCGGGATTAGGTAAGTGCTGTGGTTGATTTTTTTTTGTTGGATTCTTTTGCATGCTCTTGTCAGGATCTCTTAACCTCTAATATATATTTTCTTAGTCTGTTTTCTTGTAGATAGATAAGTTTTCTTTTCTAAATGGCGCAAGGTTGACTTTTACAATTCTGGGATGTCTTCTTACAGTGAGACACCTACCCAAAAGGAAAGTAAACCGCAAAATCAAGATTTTCTTTGACTAATGTTTTCAAGTACTACTAAGTTTACAAATGTTCTCTCACAGTTTATATATTGGATAACTCTGAGATACATACGAGTTCAATATTATATGTGCCTATCTATTTTAGATACTTATTTCATCATAAAGTTTATATTTTAAATATTTAGAAATTAATTAATTGCTTTTATTTATACAGGTATAATATACATACATGGCGATAAATTAAGACGAAACGAGAGTAATAAAGATACAGCTCGGTTCTCCTTAATTCCCGGTATTAAAATTTTTTATGCTCTAAATGAAAGGAAGTGATAGTAATTGATTGAGCATGCGAAAAATACTTTTAAAAAAACTCATAAAAGTATCCACTGAATTCAATCTAATTATTTATATTAATATAAATGGCACATATATAAACATGTACAGTCTGCCCTTGTTTCAACGAAGTGGCTGGACATATAAGAAAATTTTATTCAACATTCGTTGAAACAAGGT